ATGGGGGAGTGTGATTGGCTCACCTTGCATCGGCGAATGGGGCATGTGGCCCTACCCATCTTGCAGCAGCTAATGAAGGGAGAGATGGTTGCTGGCATACGTGTGAAGGGGGAGCCCGATGAGGTGCTTGGCTGCCCAACATGCATTCAAGCCAAGTTCAGCTGGTTTCCGTTCCCTAGTTCGGAGGCAACGGCAAAGGCACCGCTTGATGAGGTGGTGATGGACGTGGTGGGCCCCCTGAAGCTTGGAGCTGCTGGAGCTGAGTTTTTCCTCACCATTGTGGATGTCTAGACCTGCATGACTTGGGTGTATGTGCTGGCCAAGAAGAGCGACGTGGCTGAAACGGTCAAGACCGATTTCCTACCGATGGCAGAGCGGCAACAAGACCAGCTTGTGAAGACAATCCGCACCGATCGAGGGGGAAAGTTCCTGAGCAAGAGTTCGGATTGTGGCTAAAGACGAATGGGAAAAGGCACTCCCTTGCCATGCCATACTCCCCTGCAATGAACGGCATCGCCAAGCGAGCGAAACGCACAATCATGGAGACGGCACGTGGGTTGCTCATAGAAGTCAGGCTACCCGACTATTTCTGGCCTGATGTGGTGCAGAGTGCATGTGTGGCCAAGAAAAGAGCTTTGACTCATGTGGGAGCTGATAAATGGGTGCCCTATGTGGAGTGGCTTGGAAGGCAGCCAAAGGTGGATATGCTTCGGGTGTTCGGGTGCATGTGCATGGCGCTCGTGCCTAAGCACATTACAAAAACCCTATGCCAAGTTTGGACGAATTTTGATTTCGATTGTCTTCGCGTAAAAAAACCCTGAGCCAATTTGGACCGGCGGTTGGAGTCATTTGATAGGAGCTCTGAGACACATCTTGCGACAAGGTTTGGCTCGGTTCAAGTTCCAATTTGGCACGCGAGCTTTTCCGGATGACATTCGGGCGCAATCCGTTTTGTTGCAAATTCGTGACCAAATTATTCAGAACTAAATTCTGTTTTTGTTCATTGTGGATATTGAGGATTTCAAAATTGCATTTATTATTGCGGTTTACAAGAACCATTATTCAGCATTCTAGCAACAAGCAGTCTTAGCACCAGGTCAAATAGCCTACGCAGTGGCGGGCCTTGAAAGCGCCCGTTGGGCAAGGACGACATCTCCAAGGTCGCCGTCGTCGATGAGGAACTTGTTCGGAAAGACGAACGCACCCATAGCCGGATCGTGGGGGATCCTCCGCTCCACGACAGCAATATGGATCATCTGTTTGACCTTTTCGCACAACTCCTGGTAGTCTTGCCTGTTCTGCTCCGGCTGGCTACTGATTCGCTTGCGACGCTTATCCTGCATAAGGGGCCATTCGATCTGCAATGTGGTGTAGGGTTGGGTGGATGGTTTATGAGGAGGGTAGGTTACGGGTAAATGAGGCAACTGAAAGCGGTGATGCAGTCGTCACTATCTACGTAACTGCAAAGGCCTAATCGACCAAGGTTTTAGCTGAAGTACAGGCAAGGGGTTAAGGGGATGAGGGATGGGGGTACAAACACATATCTACATCCTTACCGAAAACAGGCCCCATGCCACCATGCGGCTCTTGAACTTGGTGAACACCGCCCCGCCCCTCTTGAAGGAGAGCTTGAACGCATAAGCGAACAAGGGGTTGGTGAAGGGTGTCCCGGTGGCCTTGTCAAAGTGCCAGTTGAGGGCCCACTGTTCTGCTTTTTGGCAGGGAGGGTATGGGTTGGAAAGGATTTTGTAGAGAAATCAAATGGGGGGATGAGAGTCAGGGTGAGCCACATCGCACGGTGATATGTAGCTGCCAAGGGGCATATGGTAGGGGATATTGTGTTTTCGAGTTGCACTGCACATACCATCTCTGTACTCGGCTAGGAGTTGATCGTCGTCGAACCAGGTCGTTGGGTGTAGCTCAGTGGGCAGGCTATCCACGAGATGGTTGTAATCGGCAAGGCCCATGCCGGTGTATGCTGCTGGCCTGAGGGTGGAGTTGATAGTTGACCTTGTTGAGGACAGCTGGTGGTTGAAGACTCCCATGGTTGACTTGTCATTGTGCAACCACAGCAGCTTCATTGCCTCGAGCCCTTCTGCAAACAAGTGGACAGAGAACGCTTCGAACACTTCCTCCGGTGCAGGGTAGTATTGTATTTTCTCCGGCGGGTTCAGAAACATGAGCTGAGAGCACACTAAGTAGGCTTTGTTCTGCGCAGGGGTGTAAGGTATACAATACGACATGGAAGAGAGAAACCAGCAGTTATGAGGGTGGCCGCGTGACCATGGGATGGTGACTAGCAACACTGTTTGAACTTGCCACCTCACACCTTGCGCCATCCGACACGTCCACCAACAACCCGGCCCACTTGCCACGTCACAGCCCCCTACCACAAGCCACGTCACCCCCCACCCACCTAACACGCCTCGCTTTGTCATGCGCAGTGGTCACGTGTACCATTTCTAACCGCCACGTCATCCCCAACCCTCACCTTCCGCCACGTCACACCCACCTGCATCCGCAACGTCATCCCCAACCCTCACCTTCCGCCACGTCACACCCTCCTTGTCCGCCACGTCCACCAACCTGCCCCACGTGCCACGTCCACCAACCTGCCCCACGTGCCACGTCACACCCTCCTGCATCCGCCACGTCCACCAACAACCAGCCCCACATGCCACGTCACACCCTCCCACCCCATGCCACGTCACCCCCCACCCACCTGACACGCGTTGCCTCGTCACGCGCCGCTCCCGTGTACCATTCCAAACCGCCACGTCAGCCCCAACCCTCACATTCTGCCACGTCACACCCTTTTGCATCCGCCAACAACCCGCCCTACTTGCCACGTCACACCCCCCACCAAGAGCCACATCACCCCCCACCCACCTGAGACGCCTCGCTTTGTCATGCGCCACTCACATGTACCCTTTTAGGGTGCCACGTCATCCCCAACCCTCACCTTTTGCCACGTCACACCCATCTGCATCTGTCACGTCATCCCCCACCCTCACCTTCCGCCACGTCACACCCTCCTGCATCCGCCACGTCCACCAACCAGCCCCACGTGCCACGTCACACCCTCCTTGTCCGCCACGTCCACCAACCAGCCCCACGTGCCACGTCACACCCTCCTGCATCCGCCACGTCCACCAACAATCAGCCCCACGTGCCACGTCACACCCTCCCACCCCATGCCACGTCACCCCCCACCCACTTGACACGCGTCGCCTCGTCACGCGCCGCTCCCGTGTACCATTCCAAACCGCCACGTCAGCCCCAACCCTCACATTCGGCCACGTCACACCCTTTTGCATCCGCCAACAACCCGCCCTACTTGCCACGTCACACCCCCCACCAAGAGCCTCATCACCCCCCACCCACCTGAAACGCCTCGCGCCGTCATGCGGCACTCCCTTGCACCCTTTCACACCGCCACGTCATATCCCAACCCTCACCTTTTGCCACGTCACACCCAACCTGCATCTGCCACGTCCACCAACAACCCGCGCCACTTGCCACGTCACACCCACCCACCCCATGCCACGTCACCCCCCACCCACCTGATACGCGTCGCCTCGTCACGCGCCGCTCCCGTGTTCCCTTCGAAACCACCACGTAAGCCCCAACCCCGCCCTTGTTGCCACGTCAACCCCAACCCTCCCCATGTGGCCCGCCACATACCGGGAATGGGTTTGTCTCCTGCAACACTAGCACTCGTGCCTTGTCCACGGCGCTCATCGGCGGCGGGTTACCAGCCATAGGCAGGGCTGCCGACCCGCCGGCATAGCTGGCAGGTACTCCACGACGCAGGCCGAGCTGTGCAAACATGGCGTACATCTCAGACCGCAGCGCCTGGAACTCCTCCCGTGTAACAAAATGCTCGTGCTCCGCACTTTCACCTAGGGCACCCATGAGCGGAGGAAAAGGGTGTGAAGAATCCCCCCTCTGGCCAAGGGGATCAACGTCTTCTGCAGCAGTCCCGTGTGCCCTCACACTATCACGCTGGCGGGAAAAGGGGAGCTCAGGGAAGGGATTGGCATAACTGCCTGCCTGATGCCCGCGCGAAGGATCGGCGAGAGGGGAGACCGCCCTGCCCCGGACAGGAGAAGCGTGGAGTTGCCGAAATTAGTACGAGGGTGAGGCAAGTGGGGACTGCGTGACGGGGGCGGGTGGAGGGGATTCGGATTCCTCTCCTCTTGGCGCGCCTGGTGCCGTCGCAGCGACTTTGCTCGGGCCGGCCCATGGCGTGTAGTACCTTGGTGCTCTGGAGGAGAGCGGTGTAACACTCGCTCTTCCGGCAGCCTTCGTTAGATGCATTCGTTGCACGCTTACGGGCGGCCCAATGCCTGTAACGCGAGGGGCTGAGATGTAGAGGGAGCCGGAAAAAAAAAATTTAGAGTCGATCGGTTTCAAGGCGGGGCCAGACATGCATGCATATTCAGAAAGGTTTGAATCTAGATCGGGTTCAGGGTTGTACTGGTTTGAGACAAGAGGGTTTACCTTGCTTGGCAGATTCGTCGACCTTCTCCTTCCCTGCATGGGAGAAACAATGTGAAAAAAGGGTGTTTTTTGGCACGGTTTAGCAGATGGTTCAACACGTCACGCCAGTTTTATTGGACACAATGCTCACCTTTCTGCTGTCCCTTCGGTTTTGGGGCAGCCTGCGCCTTCTCGTTGCCACCTTTCCGCGGGGTGCTTTGGCGGACGCTGCGACGTTTACCGGCAGGTTCTTTCTTGCTGGTACCCTCTGGAACCCCTTTGGCGCGGCCACCCTTTCCTCCTCCATCCCCTTTTGCTCCCTGGCTCCCTTGCTTTTTACCAACCCCTTCACTTTCGACCTTCACCTTACGCGCCTTCGGTTTGCCCGATGCTTTGCCGCGCGCAACGTCAACTGCCCCGCGTTTTCGGGAAGGGCGAGTCCGGCCCCCCTCCTTCCCTGTACCACTCACCCGTCTGCCACGCCCGCCCCGTCCCTTCACTGGCGCCACATCCTCCTCCTACTCCTCCTCCTCCTCCTCCTCCTCCTCCTCCTCCTCCTCCTCCTCCTCCTCCTCCTCCTCTTCCTCTGCCTCCTCCTCCTCCTCCTCCTCCTCATCCTCCTCCTCCTCCTCCTCCTCTTCGTCCTCCCCGCCATCATTCTCATCTTTCTCATCCTCCCCAACATCCGCGTCATCCTCCTCCGCTTCCTCTTCATCCTCCTCTCCCTCCACATCCTCCTCCTCATCCTCCTCCTCCTCCGCATCACCGGGGTCTTCATCGCCCCGTTTCGGCTTTGTTCCCGTCGCTGCTTTCTTGCCTCTCCTTCCACCGGATGCTTTTCTTGCTGCGGGTCGGCCCTTCTGGCGCAATGCTTGACCACCCGCCTTGCCACTAGCTTGCTTGGCGCCTCGTGTCAAACTCATATTATATAGCTTGTGTAGGCTATAGTGGGGTAGACACTATGGGGTACAGTTTCCTAGGGTTTCCTACTTGTACCCAACTTTGTGCTAGTTCATTTATTCCTCATTCTTCACATCGTATAGAGCAGGTTCCCTAGTGGGAACACTTCCTTGGGCCCACCACTGAAAACTTCCTTTTTGACCGGAGCGCCAATCGCTCCTGCCCGAGGCGCGCCTTTTTGCCGCCCTTTCCAGGCCCCTAGTGGCCCCTAGCGACCTCGTCGCCACCCCTAGCGGCCCCGTTACCGCCCCTACGCGGCCCCGTTGCCGCCCTTAGCGGCCCCGTCGCCGCCCCTAGCGGCCCCGTCGCCGCCTCTCACCCTACGCGGCCCCGTCGCCACCCCTACGCGGCCCCGTCGCCGCCCCTCCGCGGCCCTGTTGCCGCCCTTTCCAGGCCCCTAGTGGCCCCTAGCGTCCTCGTCGCCACCCCTAGCGGCCCCGTTACCGCCCCTACGCGGCCCCATTGCAGCCCTTAGCGGCCCCGTCGCCGCCCCTAGCGGCCCCGTCGCCGCCTCTCACCCTACGCGGCCCCGTCGCCGCCCCTACGCGGCCTCATCGCCGCCCCTCACCCTAAGGGCCCCGTTGCCGCCCCTAAGCAGCCCCGTCACCGACCCTAAGCGGCCCTGTTGCTGCCCCTACGCGGCCCTGCCCCCGCCTCTAAGCGGCCCTGTCGCCGCCACTACACAGCCCCGTCGCCGCTCCCCTCTCTAAGCGGCCCCATCACCGCCCCTAACGGCCCATCATCGTCAGGGGAGTATTGCATCGTGAGGGAGTGCCGAATACCATTCTTCTTCAGCCACAACCCAAACTCCTTGCTCAGGAACTCTCCCCCTCGATCGGTGCGGATTGACTTGACTAGACGATCTTGTTGCCGCTCCACCATCGGGAACCAATCCGTCTTCAACGTTTCAGCCACGTCGCTCTTCTTGGCCAGCACATACACCCAAGTCATGCGGGTGTAGACGTCCACAATAGTGAGGAAGTACTCAGCTGCAGCAGCTCCAAGCTTCAGGGGGCCCACCACGTCCATCACCACCTCATCAAGCGGTGCCTTTGCCGTTGCCTCCAAACTAGGGAACGGAAACCGGGTGAACTTGGCTTGAATGCACGTCGGGCAGCCAAGCACCTCATCAGGCTCCCCCTTCACACGTATGCCAGCAACCATCTCATTCTTCACTAGCTGCTGCAAGATAGGCAGGGCCACATGCCCCATTCGCCGATGCAAGGTAAGCCAATCACACTCCCCCGTAGCCGAAGTCGGATTGGAGAATGCTGCACTCGCAATAGCGCCCCACATGCTCTCTCCGTACTCCTCCTCCGCTACTGCCTCAGGGCTCTCCTCACCCTTGTGCTCCTCCTTGGCTGCTGCACCACACTTTTTATGATCACCGAGCTTGCTGGTCCCTCCAAGATTCCACTTCTTGGACTCCTCCTTAGCGCGACCGTCCGCGCAATCGCCGCTACCAACCGCTTCACCTTTGGTGCTGGCGCTTGCTGCCACTTGCCTCTCCTTAGGCATAGGGACCACTGGGATCTGCCACATCTCGTTGTAGACATCCCTGTCCTCACGAAGGTCCCAAAGAACCCGATCACCAAGCCTTGCGGTGTAGGTCTTGGCTCCCTTCGAGTTAGTGTCCATGCCGGCCTTTGCCAACCGCCGCACGGAAATCAGGTTTGCAGCAAGGCTGGGCACCCAAAGCACGTTCTTGAGGCCCACCATCTTCCCATCAGCACCCTTGAACATGGCCTTGCCCATGCCTTTCACCTCCGCTCCCTGCCCCAAAGCTGATGTGACATGCTTCACCGGTGACGGTTCGAGTTCGGTGAGCAAGTCCGGGCTAGGTGTCATGCTATAGGTAGCGCCACTATCGATCACCCAATAGTCCAGAGGGTGTAGAGTCACCTTCCCCACAGCTGCTGGCTCCTCAAAGCCTTCATCCTTCTCAGGACCAGTCGGTACTTGCGTCGACACAAAGTAGAGTAGACCCGGTACCGATCGTTGCTCGGGTCCTTGTCGTTGTCTCCGCTCTTCATGTTTGCAGCTCCGCCACCGCGACCGCCACGGCCTCCACGGCCTCTTCCTCTCCCTCCTCCTGCTCCTCTACCCTCTTGGCCTTGAGCAGGGGTCCAACCATCAGGGAGTTTGTAGCAGTCGCGCCACATGTGTCCGCTCTTGTGGCAATAGTGACACTCGCCGTCGAATCGGCCGCGACCGCGTCCGTAGCTCTTGTCGTCGCTGCCGTAACCGCCACTCCCGCGGCCTCCGCCGAAGTTGCTGCCACCAAACCTTCCTCCCCCTCGTCCTCTACCTCTTCCTCGACCATTTCCACGGCCGATGCTCGCTGCCCCAGCGCCATCCGCACTCGCCAACTCACGGCGGCGGAAATCCTCTTGAAGGATAGCCCGCTTCACGTCTTCGAGCGAGAGGCGGGACAAGTCGCGATTCAGGTTGATGATGAGCGAGGACCATGATTCGGGGAGTAGGGCCAGCAACTTGGTCTTCTTTTGGAGCTCACTATAGTTCAAATCCGCTCCCTCGAGCCGCGTCAACAAGTCGAAGAATTTCTGCACCCCTTCTTCAACCGCTTCATCCTCTTCAATTCGTAACGTCGCCATTTGCCGTTCCAACACCACAGCTACCGCCGCTGTTGCAGGGGCGTGTACACCCTTGAGAGCAGCCCATGCTTTTGGTCCCTTCTCTGTCTCACGCTGGAAAGGCTTGATGTGACGGATTTGGCTGCTCCCCAACGCTTGCCCAAGTAGGAGGTAGCCTTGTGCGCTCTTCCGCACCCACGGGCTCTTCTCCGGGTCGTTCTCGGGACGCTTCTCCGTTCCTTCCATCACCTCCAGCAGGTCATAGTGGTCAAATATGTTCTCCATTCTGAAGGACCACTCAGCAAAATTGTCACCATTGAACTTGTCAAGGCCAAATACTCTAGGCTCATCCCTAGATGGGCCATCACTTGGTTGCACGGGCGCCATGGTTGAATCACGGGGTTGGCCTTGAGCTTGGGCTTCTCCTCTGCCACCAGCACCTCTGCCACCCCTTTCCTCAGGTCCAGCCATTGTCGAAACTGCTCCAAGGGGCTCTGATACCACTTGTTATAGTCACAATAGGCTCCATTGTGCCTAAAACGAAAGATAGAGTGCATAGTCGGATTTCTGCACAGCGGCCTCGAACGTTCATATCGTTCTGATCACAGCTTCAATTACTTGATTCAACTTGGATCTGGAGCGTCTTATTATCGCCTACAATAGGCAATTTAGATCGCACGATTTTACCAAGTATTGACGACACAGCGTCGGTTTGAACGAACGGAACTATGGCAGCCACTATAGTCTTAGAACACAAGATAGAAAGAGTTAGGAAGAGTTACGAGTTGGGAATGACTCCCAGCTCCTACAAACCCCAAGAGCCGAGGTACAGTGATGTCGAACAGTGCCACACTGTCCCCAACCACGAAGGGTCTCGAAACTACCCTTCACTAGGGCCTACACCAAGTGAAATGTTACACTACACAAAGTAATGTAACTATCTTCAATATCTTGAGGTGTACCCTTTTCGCGAGCTTCGAAATCACTTGAGGCTTGACACCAAGGCTCGGGCTCTTCATCACAAACTCATCCTTGAGTTCTTGATGGGTCTGCTGCACACACCTGCGACACACCGAACGTTCGACACAGGACAAAATAGAAACCGCGCACGACAAAATAGAAAACCGCGCGCGAGACACAAACGACCGCGTAACACGCGTCTAACGATAACTCGCTATTGACTCGACACACACACTCGACATCATGACTCAACATTCACACACAATTATAAGCATGAAATATATATTATCCCATGCCCTCATACCATTCCATACACACACACATGCACGCACACGGACAACAAGCCGAGTGCAAACCGTAGGGTTGCGCCAACAATGGGATGGGATGAGATGGGATGGGAAGGGATGGGATGGGATGGGATGGGATGGGATGGGATGAGATGGGATGGGATGGGACGGGAAGGAGAGTGGGCAGACGGAGAGGTGGAGACACTTGGCGCTCCCCGTGTCTGCCTTGCTGCTGTACCACTCACCCGCCTGCCACAGCTCGCAACTGAGTTCATTCCGCCGCCACGGGTGACGGCTCGGATTTCCGCCATTATCTCATCTCATCCCTGCCCGCTTGCAGCGCTGCCATCGCTCTGACCGCCAAACCAAACAACCGTTTATCCCTCCGCAGCCTAAACTCACCCGTTTCAAAGCCAAACCACACGCACCTGCCCGCTAACCCCCCCTCCTCCCCTCCCCCATCAATCACCCGCACGCCATAGCTTGCAGCTGAGTGCATTCTGCCGCTATGGCCCTGGTCTCCGCCATTATCTCGTCTCTCCCAGTCTACAGCGCGGCCATCGCTCAGAGCGCCTTATTGATGCCTAGACACCAGTCACAAGGGCAAAGCATACTCACCCGCCCGCCTCGCCCTGCAGCTGTGTGCATTCGGCCGCCACGGCTCTGACCTCCCCATGATCTCATCCCTGCCCGCCTGCAGCGCTGCCACGGCTCTTACTCACCCGCCCGTCACTCTTCCCCCACCCACCCAATCTCTCAACCCCTAATCCCTCAGCCACTTACCCGCCCGCTTCGCCCTGCAGTTGAGTGCATTCCGTAGCCACGGCTCTGACCTCAGCCATAATCTCATCCCTGCCCGCCTGCAATGCGGCCATGGCTGCCGCTGCTACCTCCTCCTCCAACTGCTCCCACGCCCGCTCCCCCTCCCCCTCCGCCTCCCCCGCCCCCTCACTCGCCTCCCCCGATGCCTTCCCGCTCGCTTCCCCGCTTCCCTTCCCGCTTTCCCCCGCCCGCTCGCACCCCCCCACCCACTCCGCCACCCTCCCTTTCAGCCTATGCATTGTTCCGAACATATTCAGCAGCGGAAGCGCCAACTCCCCCCGCCAGCCCCCCTCCGCTATCAACTTCCCTCGCTTCTCCCCCGCCCCCGTTCCTTCCCCCTCCCCCGATCCTTCCCCCTCCGCCTGCTCCCCCAAGTTCCCCCGCGCCTGCTCAACCAGACCTTGACCCTCAAAATATAAGCGCCTGGAATGCCTTGAGATACCCGTTACTCTGTAGTTCCGCCAAAATAGCTGCTTTGACGACGGCACGAATCAAACCCTGGCGGTCCGCTGCGCCTCCGCCCTCTTCTGTCATCGCTGCTGCTTTGTCTGTCGCCCCTGCTTCCTCCGTATTCCCAGCTTCGGCACTCCCAGCCTCAGCATTCCCAGCCTCGGCACTCCCAGCCGCAGCGTTCCCAGCCTCGGCATTCCTATGCTGCTGGCAGAGCTCGTCTGTGTACGTGCAGAGCTGGGGGAAGAGGGGGAGAGGGAGGTGGAAGGGGGGGAGGGGAGGAGGAGAAGGATGAGAAGGGAAGGATGAGAAGGGAGGGGAGGGGGGGTTGAGGGGGGAGGAAGGGAGTCTTGCGGCAATCTTTTTAGGGAGAAAGGGAAAGGGAGAAATGGGAGGATGATGCAACTGCACGGCCGAATGAGGACAGGGATGGGAGAGACTT